TAAAAGAACGATGTGTAAATATAAAAAAAATAAAAAAGGTAATACTATCGTATACAATAAAGATTATACTTGCTTAGAATGAAAGTGGTGAATCTTATATTTAACCTTGTCTATTATTTATAGTCATGATGATATAAGAGGTCATGATCGAAAATTGTTTCTTCTAAAATATCAACGGTATCCTCAGGTGTTAGGGTCAGTTTCGACATTACAACTTCACGCCATCATATATTTCAGATAACTATTTAATGACAAAAAAGAAACTATTATAGTAATTCAAATTTGTAAACATGAACTAACATATAAAAACTAACAATTATTATTCTTATGACAATGTTTATAATGTTAAAATTCTATAAATTCTTAAAATTTTACAACAAAGAATCCATTCACATCATTCTTACATTTTTAACTACTTTATTAATAATTGTGTCAAGGACCCATAAAATCGACGTGTAATATTTAACTTTGAATGGTTAGGATACTTAATGTGCATGACATGCTTCTCTACAAATATAAAATGGCACATAAAGCGAGGTTCGAAACATGCAGCTGCCGTGTAGAGGTTACAACTCTTGCATGCTAGGCTGGACCTCTGATGAGCACGAGTATAAGACCTATCATTATTGTACCGACTGAATCACCGTGACTTACATCTTACCAAAAACCCTATCGAATCGGGGTGTGAGGGGCCCTTGGGGTTGGGGATTCAACCTTTTGAAACATTAAAATGGCACATAAATGATTACAAAGAGTTTGAAATCCATGTCATAGCATTTCGCAAGTACAGCGCATTATTCTCCACTCTTTGTTGCCTACACGGATTTCCCCAGGATGAATGGTATACCCTAAATTTTTTCCACTATATTCGTTTTTCGCCTGCCTTCCACTCCAGTGAAATGAGCTGACCAACACAAAAAAGTTTTGACCCATATTTTAACCCGTTTTGACCCGTGTTTTTAGGCGGGAAAAGTGACATTTTTTCCACTTTGATTTGTATATAGTAAGATGTACACATTAGAGGTGTTAATTTATAGTTTGGGTGTTAATCCCTGAGAATATATCCCTATTTAGAGAATAGGGTTATTTTATTAATAAACTATCCAAAACTTGATGTACTCCCTCCGTCTCGCAAAATAGTTCTCGGTTTCTTTTTTTGATCGTCCCAAAAAATAATTCTAATTTTCCTTTTTGGAAAGATTTTTGTAGCTACCACAACCATACATTTCTACTTTCTTAAATTCGGATCCAAGTCAATGCAGGAACTATATTATGGAACGGATTGAGTACTATATAGTTTATAGAGAATAGTGGTGTCTTAAATAATGTACTGTATTACTTAATATGCACATTAGATATTTTAAATAACATGATTTGTATTGTTTAATTTAGTGTTGGTGAACGGAATTACTAATAAATAAAAAGTATAGAATATGTAAAAAGTATAGAATATGTCCAGTTCAGCAGAAGCTCTCAATCTGAAATTGAATAATGAGGTCAGCCTTTTTTAAACAATTAACAACATTGTATAAGCTTTTCATAGACATAATTTCAAAACAAAGCTATCAAAGTATAAACATGAGTGTGAAAATGATATTGACCCTTACATTATGAGGATGTCTTTTGAATTACCCCAGCACCGTCTTTGTGTATTTTGACCTCATTTGAACTTTGAACCCAAAGAGGTGCCCAACCTTTCAAATGTAGCCTCTAAATTCGTGGCGTTTGGATCGCTGCTGTTGATAGCAGATGTTGAGCCCTCGTTGTCGCATGATGGTTGGGCCTTGTTTGGTCACAATCTGCCACGGAGTTTGGCCTTCCTCTCTGGTCAGCCTATCTGAAAATCCATCGCAGGTGAGCAGGGGCTACCGCTGAGTTGGCGTTGTTTCTGTTGAGCTCTGTCTTAGGTTGATTCGAGTCCCCATGGTTGTCTGAGAGGTGAAAGAAGAACGACCCAATGGAGATGGAGGATGGCCGCTTCTGGTCTCCGATTGTGGTGACTGCTGAAGCATCGGTGCCAACGCCGGTTTCCCCTGATGTCGCCAGAGCGCCCTAATCCCATTCAAACGTTCTAAAAAAAATCCTGAAGTACATAATCTGGCTGCAAGATGACACCTTACCAGAAGCCCCCAAACATGAAGACATCCTATCCATCTTCTTCTTCTTGAAGCGCGCGAGAGCCTAGAGATAGAGGCCGCCAGTCCTCCACTCACCTCAACGGCCTCCTCCTTCGTCGCCAACGTCTTTCCGGGACAAAGGTTGACTTGGGGGTGAGGCCCTCCATTGATGTCGCAGTGGATGCGGCACTTCTAGCGGTTGAAACGCAGCTGAAGTTCTTCCCCATCGTGAGGTCCTGTGGGTTGGGTTTGATTGCTCTGCCAATTGTAGAAGAACTCCGGACTTATCCGGCCTCTTCATCACACCTGTGTAAATATATTAATTGTAGTGGCTATTTTACTGAGACTCAATAGAGGTTATCTGTTTGAATGGACAACTCTCTGATAGCCATCAAAACACATTAATTAATCTTGACCCATCTTTCGGTAGAACCAAGATTTTATGACATCCAAAACAATACCAATTCTTTCCATCCTGATTGTGATGTTTTTGGGCGGCAAATTCACCCAAAATTCCACTTCCTTTTGTATAGAGATAGATACGAGAAGCATTTCCTATGGTATCATCCCATCTTCTATGTATGGCAACACTTCAAGTGAATCCTACCCTACCTGAAAATCGGATTATCCTGCACCAATAGCTCAGATTGTAGCTCAGGTAATTGGCAATATATCTACTCTAAGCTCGAATAAGTGATTTGCGGAAAAGATATAGCATCAACGAGTAATCCATCGCCATTTCTTAGTATAGCACTACCCGCTGCTGATTGAGGTAAAAATCCAGCATTAACATTTAATTTCAATGCTGTTAAAGGTCTTTTCCATCTAGCCACAGAGATTATTGGACCATCTGCATACTCAAGACGATGGGTCACCCACAATGCATTAAGTTCTTTAGACGCATTTATGGAGCTCTTCACAGCCTTAATCACCCCAATATATAATACTCTTCCGGACATGAATTCTTGACCGGAACTTGCCTTCCGGATGGCACCATTTGAGTTTTTCCTGGTGAAATTTTTTAATGAAATTTTTATGTCATGTTCTTTATTAAATCTGGTTTATCCACAAAAAAATTAGCAAAAAAATTAAACGAGGATGAGGATCCAACAAAATGATTTTTGGAAGATAACTGCGCCCAAAATATATGCATATAAAGCGAAGTTAACTTTCAAAAAATATTTGACGACCTTCCTGATTGAATTTTTGACTGAGTTTTTTGGTGGATAAAGTAGACTTGACGAATAACATTCCATAAATATTTCATCAAAATAGTCGACCGAGAAGAAGCCGAAACGCCGCCATCCGGACGGCGGTTCCTGTCTAGAATTCCGGACAGGAATATATATATATATATATATATATATATATATATATATATATATATATATATATATATATATATATATATATAGATATATATAGAGAGAGAGAAGATCCCATGAGAAGTGTGTCTTAAGTTGAAAAGTGAGAAGTATTCCTCACCGTTAGATTAGTTCAAAACATGCGTTCTCATTCAGATCAGATGACTAATATCCATCGTCCGATTAGATTAGAACCACTGCTATCATTAATGGCATTTGCTGTAAATTATTCAAACTTTGTACCTTTTTTATAAATCGGTAACTTCGAATAAAAAAATACCCCGTATGTTAGCATCCGATCTATTCTCTTCTTCTCTCTCTTCTCGCATATTCTCCTGATCTCCTTCTTCGATCTCATCAAATGAGTCTGTCGATTGCTCTGTTCGTTCTTAGCATGTTTGGATGGAATACTGGTGATGAGTTGTTCTCAACTTCACCTACTATGATTAGCTGCTGAGAAAGACTAGCATATCACTGGACAACCACCCGCAAAAAAATAAATCTCCATGGGAGATGAAAATTGGTGGAATTACACACTTTCTGGCACCGGTCACCACCGATCTCTTTCCCCTCCTTATCCTCTCGGATCTAATTGTAAGCATAGAATCATGTTTGGTAAGGAGAAACGCTACTGCAAATTCATCTTCACGAATCAAATATTACCACTCTTCATCCATCTCTATTTGCTCTAATAAGAAATACAACAACAACAACATCCAAGCCTTAGTCCCAAAAGATATTGAGGTCGGCTAACATGAATCGATACATGATATCACAACCAAAAGGAAAAGAAAGAAAAAAGATAAAAAGATAAGCTATTATGAAAAGATAATATAAAAAAGATGAATATATATAAAAAAGATACAATAAAAAGGCTGCAAAAAATGCATATATATATATATATAAGGATTAAAAAAAAAAAACTAGGAAAAAAAAGATGAGGGAAAAAGATTATCAAGATCACTCCTTCACGTGAATACCCGCCCTCCACTTAGTTCTCTCCAAAGTCATGCTCTAATAAGAAATATGGATTTTAAATTATGTCTACTAACTGTTTGTTAAAACGTATCAGTGAAAATGATATCAATAGTTTACACTTTTAAAAATGAAATGTTTGTTGAAAGGATTTAGTAGTTCAATTTTGACTTAAGATTCGTAAATGTGTTGGTAGTTTACAATCCAGTGAACTTATGCTTTCCAAATTGAGTATTCTTTTTAAATACTCCGTAAGAAGTTGTCAGTTTTCTTTTATAAGTTGTACATTTTCTGATAAAAGTGATTTGAAAATCCTTGCATTTTACTTTTAAATAATTTTAATGCATGGAAAAAGAGAGTTGTGGTTAGTTCAACTGGAGGAATTTATACGATTAGGCTTGATACTTTATAATTACAAGTTATGCTATATACCTTTTTAAAATTATTTAATGAAGTTGTATGAGTTACTTTTTTTATATATTACTCAATCTGAGCTAAAATTTGAGCTAAGATTGATGGAATTCTTCTCGTAAAATTTGGTGGACCTGAAGCCTTATATTTGAGCAGACACCTTGTTGCATATCTTTAATTTTATTTTGTTTGAGAGAAGGTAAATTATAATTAGTTCACTGCATATTAAAGTTTAAATAACTATTAATTCCATGGTAGTATAAATTAGATAGCTCTTTAGTTGAGATGTCATAGGTTAGATAAGCGCATATTGAAGTTAAAACGACTATCAAATATCCTTCCTGTTTGATATTATGAATTAGTTAAGTACAAGTAAAACTTTTGTTAAGAGGATTACCTTTCTTTTTAAAAAATGGTTAATACAATGCTGTGATTTCATGCCCCCGTGCTTAAACAGGTTCTTGATGCTACTTCGGTAGTTAACTTTATTTTAGCTGTTTTAGAAGCTGATTTGACAGGTTCGTTTGCAAGTTATGTGACCCCTAGTCAATGCCCTATTGAATTCTATGAAGAGATCTCATATGCCACCATGGTTGGAACCCCGATTGATGATGTCTGTATCTTTAATGCCCCAGCAATTGATGCTGAACTTACAGGTCCTTTTGAATTTTCTGTGGCAAATGTCCAGGCCCCTACTGATCGGAATGTAACTGCCTCCCCTGGAGTTGGAAAACTACCAGTTTATGATAAAGTCCCTTGTTCCCCTAGTGAGCACCATTCAAGTTTGAAATTTGTCAGAATCTCTAGTACCCAAGTTTATTCTCCCTCCTTTCAAAATATGTACTTGGGGCATTTAAGGTGTTTGAAGATATGTCTGCAAGAGACTGTCACATTGAGCTCAAGAGTTTCACATTTTATAAGAATGGGAGTTTAAAATAGGCCTTAGAGCTTTAACTGAATGCTTTGTTTGGAGTTCTACCAAGTGGCTGTTAAAATGTTTCATTGGTAAATAGGGATGGACCCGGGCCGGTCCGGTTCCGGGCCGGGCCCGGGCGGGCTTTTTTTGCAAAATGTTGGGCTCGGAACCGGCCCGGGTTGATACCGGGTCCGGGCTCGGGTCAAGTTCAATTTTTTTTTTGGTTTCTAATCAACACCCGACCCCTCCCCCTTTCACCCCCACCCCCAAACCCCCCCAAAACACCCAACCCTAACATAGAAAAGCAAAAAAAATTGAAAAAAACAATTTTTTTTTTGAACCGGGCCCGGCCCGAACCGCCCGGGCCGGTTCAACAAAAGTTGGGCCCGAGCCCGGCCCGTCCGACCTGCCCAAACGGGCTAAAAGCCGGAACTGGCCAACCAGTCCCGGTCCGGTCCGGGCCCAAACAGTAACGGGCCGGTCCGGTTACGGGTTGGGCCGGCCCGGTTTAGTCCATCCCTATTGGTAAATAAAATCAATCGACTTCTTTGCTTTAAGTGTATTTACAATTTAGCTATACGAATATATAAGCTAATGTTCCTGTGTTGCTGACTTCCTATTCTTTTTAGACTTGTATGTTTAGTTTTGATGATGTAAAATGATTATTAACATATTGGATGTCTTAGAAATATTCTAAGTACGGATACTGTATTACTCTGTACTATGTATGGGGGGTTTCTCCTCAACACAAATGCTAAAGGTACCCCAAAATGTACCCCATTTTTACCATCACCCCCTAATGTGTGGCTATAAATGGGGCAATTCATTTAAGTGGGGCAACACTTAAATGAATTGGTCCATTTATGGCCACAAATTAGGGGTTGGGGTAAAAATGGGGTACATTTTGGGGTACTCCTAGCAAAACTCTTCTCCTCAAATTAACTAGTATACATCCTCCAAGATTCCCCAAAAAGTAAAGCTTCATTTGGAATTTGCATTTGTGAAGTGTAGTGTTTGAGTTATAAAATTTTAAAATGGGTTGTTGTGATGATTCAAATTTCGTTTAATGAAAGAAAGGATATGGAACTTCAAAATAAAAGAAGAGACATTTTCTATACCAAACTGATCCTAGGAAGAGTTCAATATATGATAAAGGAGCACAAAAAAACTATTACAACAATCAACCGGCTTCTAAGATAACGAAGTACATACAGAAAGTGAAAAGAATACAAACCTCAACTCAACTCATCTTCACTTTTTTTTTTCTTTTTTTTCACTTTTTTTTTTTCTTGTTTTTTTGCTTTTTCAGTTTTTTTTGGAATGCTACATCAAAACTACTTCTACAAGAAATGTCAAACCGCCATAACACTATTACATCTATACAAACTGCCGGAAAAAAATGCTCCAACAAGATGCAAACTCTTCCAAATCACAGTTCAAGTAAAAAAATGTCAACTCAAGTGTGAGGGATAATTTTGGCTATTTGGGCTCAGGTAAATAATGATGGGTAAACAAAGAAATTATTAGTCAAAAGCACGGTAGAATGCTTTTAGACCATTAAGGCTCAAAGGGGGTAGCAAGCGGAAATAAAATGCAAAGGGTAGGTTAAAAGGTTTGGGGCTATGAAAAATGGCCTAGATCACTTCTCAATCAGTTTGCACAATAACTTAGCTTCCAAAAGAGCAACAAGACAAGTTCTATCATGCTAGCTAAAAGACAAAGGACTCACACTCTTTCCAAGAACGTTAGAGATGCATCCTAAAAGGTCACAAAAAATTGAGAAATACATCAAAATTAATGGCACAAGAAACTAAGAAATTGACTCGAATTAAAAAACAATGTGAAGAACTCAATCAAATTCAAGAGAAAACTTGTCATGGAGCCCACCAATCATACCACATACCAATGAAAAGGAACTTGTCACAGCTTGAGGCCAAAGAAGTCGTCCTGAAATTGAATTTCCCTCAAAGCCAAGCAAAAAAACAGATTTCTTTTTTTTTTGGATTTTTTTTTTCATTTTTCTGTTTTTTTGGTTTTGTGAAACTTAAATAAAACTAAAAAATGACAACTATTCCTCCCCCACACCTATCTCAAGCATTATTCACAATGAAAGATTAATAACACAGAAAGTGGGAAGAAAGACTCCCTGAATGCACTTTGTAGCTCTAGAACCGAAACTGAAAGCACTTTGAATAACAACCTGCATAACTGAAAGAAAGAAAAAAAAACGAACGAGGTAGGGAGGAAAAAACAGAATTAAAGTAAGTTTTTTTTAGCTTTTTTTTTATTTATTTTTTATGTTTTTTAAAAAACATGTGATTAAACACAACAAGAGCTACAGTGTTCCCAAAGCTCAAGACTCTCAACTTGCTCCACCAAATCTTCATTACATGAATATCTCTTCACTCTCTCGCCATTGACTTTAAAAATATTCCCGGATTTTTGAGTTTCAAGCTCAATTACACCATCGGGAAAAACATCGCGAATAACAAACAGACCAGTCAACTTAGTCTTTATTTTTCCTGAAAAAAATCTTAAACGAGAGTCAAGCAACAACACTTTAATTCCAGGTTTAAAATCTTTCCTTAAAGTGGACTTATACTGAAAAGGATTAGTGCGCTTCTTGGAAACTTTGGCACTCTCATAAGCATGATTCTCAAGATCATCTTCCTGCAACTTGTCCAAAGGAACAATATGATCAAGAATATCAAGTGCAAAACAAGAACTAGAATCAACTGGGATGCTCATCGATTTCAAAATGGAAAACTCAACAGTTTCATCAAGCACACTCATAGTCAATTTTCCATTTTGAACATCAATCATTGTTTTTGTCGTAGCCATAAAAGGTCTACCAAGCAAAATTGGCATGTCTTTCACATATTTGCACTGATCATCCATATCTAAAACCACAAAATCAGCAGGAATGATCAACTTATCAACTTGAACTAAAACATCATCTACTATGCCCCTAGGATATATAATAGAACGATCAACAAGCTGTAGGGACATAGTAGTGGATTTTAGCTCATTCAACCCTAATTTCAAGTAAACAGAATAAGGCATCAAATTAATACTTGCCCCCAAATCAAGCATAGCTTTTTCAGATTTAGAATTCCCTAAATTAATGTTGATAATAAAACTGCCAGGGTCTTCTAGTTTTGGGGGCAAATCTTTTTGCAAAACATCACTAACAGCCTTAGAAACAAACACTTTTTCATTGGGTTCATATCTACGCTTCCTGGTGCTCAATTCTTTCAAAAAATTAGCATAGGCAGGCATATTAGTGATCATGTCAAGAAGAGGCAAATTCACATTAACTTTAGACAACAACTTATAAATTTCATCAAAAGATTTGTTAAGCTTAGAACTTTTAAACCTGTTTGGGAAAGGAGTGGGTGGAACATACGGCTTAGGCGGCACATATGGGTCTTCAGCTTTGTGCAGTACGGTCTCCTCATGAACTGATTCAGCCTCAATTTCTTCTTCCTTTTCAGCTTCTACCTTCTCTGGTTGCTTAGGAAAGGACTGCCCTTCATCTTTCTCAATTATCTTCCCACTTCTTAGAATTGTGACAGCCTTTGCTTCTTCAGTGTGGCTTGGTAGTTTCCCTTGCACATGGCCCTGTAAACATTCAACAATCTGCCCCACTTGAATCTCTAACTTCTTCAAAGAGCTTCATTCTGCTGAAAACGCTGCTCATTTGTTTGCTGATTTTGGGTGCAGATTTGCATGAAAGTTTGCAAAGTATCCTCCAAAGAAGGCTTCTTTTGCATCGATGGTGGTAGATTGCTTTGTTGTATATTACTCCAAGAGAAATTAGGATGGTTCCTCCAACCGGGATTGTAAGAGTTCGAGAATGGATCGTTTCTTGGCCCTTGATCATAGGAGTTCATCATGGGGGCTTGCTCAAAACCACCTTCAGGTACTGCATGCACAACGGCAGTAGGTTGACTCATTGTTGTCATCACAGAGCACATATTCCTCATCTGTTTGGACAACTCAGACATCTGGATGGCTAATTCTGTCCCAACTCCCACTTCATAAATTCCTGGAGTCCTGCCCCGCACACTCCTCTGTTGTGAATTGGCTCCTAGCATCTCGAAAAGCTCGAAAGTTTGTTCTGCAGTCTTCTCTCCCATTGCTCCTTCAGCTGCGTTGTCCACAATAGCTTGGCTCCCTTGTGTCAAACCGTCATAGAAAGTTTGATTCTGGAGTCCCAGTGAATAGCTGTGATGAGGGCATTGAGTGAGCAGCATCTTAAATCTCTCCCATGCCTCATGGAATGGCTCACCTTCAGCTTGAGTGAAATTGGCAATTTTTCTTCTCAGTTCTAAAGTTTTAGACTGAGAATAATACTTGCCAATAAATTTGTTGTAGACATCAACCCATGTGCGCAATGAACCAGGTGTTAAAGACATAAACCATGTCTTCGCAGCATCTTTGAGAGTGTATGGAAAACACCTCATCCTCAGCTCATCTTGAGCCACTCCTTGCAAAGGGAAATTTTGGATGATGCCATAAAAATCTCGGATAAAGATCAGCGCATAATAGAATAGGAAGAAAATAAGAGATAATACTATTTCAGATTGATCTCAACAATGAACTGAGTACAAGTATTTATACAATTGGTTATAAATCTAACTAACTTCATAACAACCGGGTCCCCATCTAGTATACTGTTTTAAGATGATTGTTCTAGTCTATTACATGATATGTATCTAACATTCCACCCTCAAAATTAGGGTGATTGGTTTGACAACTCAATCACACTAAGTTTTGTTTTTAAATCAAGAATTCTGGAACTGGAGAGTGGCTTGGTGAGTATGTATGCAATTTGATGAAGAGAGGGAATATGATAAACTTGAAGTTGCTTGAGCAGAACTTTTTCTCTGACAAAGAAAATATCAATTTCCATGTGCTTGATCCTGGAATGCAAAACAGGATTGTGAGCCAGTTGAACATCACTGAGATTATCACAGTATACTCTGGGAGTAGAAAAGGGGACTTGAAGTTCTTTTAATAGAAATTGGATCCAT